CGGCCGCCGGCCACTCTGGGCTTCCACGGCACGCGGTACACAGGGCTCTTCTCCGTGTGCCTCCCCTGTCACGAGCCATCCTGCTGGTGCCCATGTCTCTGCCTCACCAGACCGAGGGCCATCACATTTGCCGTATTCCCAGACTCCAGCAAAAGGGCAAGGACGCAGTAGGCACCAGCGTTTCCGGAACAGATGATTGAATAAGCAAATGGATGAACGCGCCGCTGGGAGAGAAAGCGTGTGGAAGCTGACCCTGCGGCCCAGGTGATCTAACGCGGGCTCTGCCCTCTCTCCACTCCCAGCTTAGTGAAATTTCCTGTTACTTGTCCCGCTTCCAATTATGTTTTGTATGATGGCGACTCCTCCCCCACACTCTACCCCTCACCGCCTGCAGTTCTGACCAGCTGGGACAGACCAATCTACAGGCCTCCGCTGCAGTTTCTGCCTCGGATGGAGGCTCCGAGAGAGAAGCGCCTCCTGGGAAGGCCCTCAGAACAACACAGCACTCACGCTGGTCAGTGCCCAGACGCGGGCAGGTCCACGCACGGGCCAGCACCAGCGTGTAGCTCAGCTAGACGTTAGCCACATCTGCTGAGCATGGGTGTATTTTAGTGTATGAATAAACATTTTTTGTGATTTTAACCAAGGTATATCCACAGAAAAGAGCTGGAAGCATATGCCAAAATATTAATGTTCATCAGTTTGGACGGTGGGAATAATGGTCTTTTCTTTATACTTTTCTCCAGTTTTTTACAAGGCTCTGCCTCCTTGTATTGGAGCACAAGCGAGCACAGGAGCCCTGTGTGCCGTTGATCACGTCCCATCCCAAAGGTGGGCTCTGATGGCATTGTCCTCTGCAGCCGGCAAGGCAGCCCCGTAGCTGAGCTCAACTCACCCTTTCTGAGGTCTGGCTTTCAATTCTGGGGACCCACCCCATAGTCTCCCAATACACCAGTTTTTTCCTTAAATTAGCTAGAGTGGGACCTATTTGATGCTTGTAACAAAGACCCTCTAATATGGGCACCAAAATGTAACAGTTGCGTGAGAGGACACCCAGGTGTGTGCAGTTTCTGTGTCTGAACTGGCGTATCAGCCAGTTATGATCTATACCTACCCTCCTCGCCAGTGTCCGGGCTCAGTCAGAATCTTATGTGATTCTGGGAAGACCAGAGGCACATGGTCTGGCACTTGCCTTGCTGGTAACCAGAGGAATTTGAGAAAAGACATTTAAACCACTTCTCTTGAATATCAGTATAGCTTCAGGCAGGGAAGTGCACAGTGTGTCTAGGGAACAATCAGGAGATTCATGGGGCAAACTAACGTGACCACGTGAGGAAGAGAGAAAAACGAAGCTGCGAAGTTTGGCAAGGCCCAGTGCTGAGGCCCCTGACTTCTGGCTGGGGAGCTGGATTTGATCTTGGACAAAGGGGCCACTAATAGTTTCTGAATGCTGCATGTAACCTGCTTTCAGAAGGAGTGGTGACAGAGTGGTGGCAGCTGCCTGCCTTTTGGTGGCTGCTCCCACTACACATTCATGGTCCCAGTCTCACCTGGCTCCTCAGCATTGCCCAGAAAGCATTCTAGTCTTCCCAATCTCTTCATCTCCAAAGCAGCTATTTCAAATCTTCCCCATGCTTCTTAGACCTCTGACCTGTTGCCTCCTCCAGCCTGAGAGAGAGAGGACAGAAGCTGTCAGAAGGGGATACCCTCAACTTTTGCCTTGGAACCTACAAACGCACCAACTTCTCACTCCTTCCTCCAAGACCACAGCCCCAGTGACATCTTTCTCTGCCTATCTTCAGCTTCTTCCTCTAACATCCCATTGCTTTTCGTTGATTTTAGTGTATATATAGTTAAAGGTTTACCCATCAGTGGATTTTAAGATTTGGACATTTTACTGTATGTAAAATACATCTCTTTAAAAAAAAATACACCCAAAAGACAGAAGGGAAAGAGGAAGCAACTGGTATTGCAAAACAATTTTGAGGTGAAAAAGGAAGATGAAGTTCTGTGACAAGACCTCAGTTTTTCTCCGGAGGTGGTGGTTGCAACAACGGGCCTAGAACGGGGATGCAGGTAGGCTTGGATTTGAGAAAGGTAGACACGCTGGCGCAGTCCCTGTGCAGCAAAAAGGCACACAAGTTTCCTCGAGCTGGATTTAAAGAATGGGCACCAACATCCAGGGCTCCTCAGTTTGCTCTGACACATGCTAGGATTCCGCGGTTTAAGGAGCAGGGGACGGAAATCAAATGGTTGCGTTTGCTTCGGGAACCGCAACAATTGGTACAGGCATGTAACGGAGAAGGGAATGAAGCCATGAAGGTTCTAGTAGGAGAATCCAGACAACTGGAGACAGAAAGGCTTTGAGGGCAGACCAGGACAGTGGAGCTGGAGAGAGTCCGTGCTCAGAGGGACTGGTGCTGAGGTCTTGGCAGGGGGATCACAGGGAAGAAAGCTAACGCTCAGCATTCTGATGCCGAACGCCAGGCGCTTCACGGACATCGGTCCTTTAAACAGCACCGCAGCTTTACCAGGATGTGCTCCTGTAACGTTCACAGATGAGCAAACAGGTTCTGAGGCCGGTAACTTGCCCAAGATCATACCAAGCAGCAGAACAATTTCAAAGCTAGATTTGACTCCAAGGTCTCTTTTCACCACACTCAGCTGCCATACAACCTAAGTCGGGAACAGCAGGACCAGAATTTCAGGGAATCTACATATGTAGATGTGGAGGTCGTCTAAGTTGCTAGCTGCCAACTCCTGGAGAATGGCTAGTAGCAACCAGAAGACGGTAAAGTCATCCAAGCGGATGGCATGTGCTTCAGCGCTCTCCTGCAGGACCACGCATCAAAGTGGTAGAAAAGAAATACAGATCCTGCTTCCACGTGCCAAGATTCCTGGGAAAATGAGTGGCCTTCGCTTGAGGGCTTTTTGAAGTGGCGTCTTCAAGGGCAAACCAGGTTTCAACTAAAGGGGAAGAACCCTGGGGGTTTTGGGGTGTCATTTGGAGAGTTAGCAAGAGGGACAGGAGGCAAAGGGAGGAGGGCTAGGAGAGGCTCAGCACGCGTGGTGGCTAAGCACACAGGCAAGGGGACTTGGCGGGGCTAGAGGCTGCATCGGGGCAAAGTGCACATGGAGTTCCAACTGTGACACCTGCCAGAAGTGTCAAGAAGAGTGCCAAGCACTGTCTGCCAGTAAATAAAGCCTAAACTTCGTCCCCTCTTTTTCTACCCTTCCCTTATCCACACCTAGGGTAAACCTTCAGTAGTGAGTAGACTGCAAACTGTTTTGAAGAGGCCGAGTGGTGGCTCATGCCTATAATCCCAGAACTTTGAGAAACGGAGGTGGGAGGATCACTTGAGGCCAGGAGTTTGAGACCAACCTGGGCATCACCACAAGACCCTGTGTCCACAAAAAATAAAATTGCTGTGTGTCTGTAGTCCCCACGACTCGGGAGGATCGCTTGAGCCTAGGAGTTCGAGGCTGCAGTGAGCAATGATGCTGCCACTGCACTCTAGCCTGGGCGACAGAGCAAGACCCTGTCTCTTAAAAACAAACAAAAAAACCAACCAGGAATAGGAGGTATTCCAAACACCTACTATGTGTATGTGCCAGGCGCTATGCAATAGCAATTCATTTAATTTTCACAGCAATGCTACAATCACCCTATTTTACAGATAATAAAACCCAGACCTAGAGAGTTGAGGTCACTTGGCCAAAATCATGGCCACAGCCAAGATTTAAAACCAGGCGTATCTGGCATCAGATTTGAATTTTCCTTGGTTCTGTTAATTAATCACAAAATTTTCATACATAAGCTTCAGAATCAATTATGAAATACTCATTTTTAGTGGCTTCTTAGGTGAATAAATTCTTCTTGCAGACTTACTAGATTGAGCAGATGTTCTGGCTTACACTTAACATGTACATTTCAAAAAAAAATGAGGGCCCTACTTCTTTGGACAAACAGGGCAGACTCTGAAGGTGACAAGAATATGTACTCACGAAAATGAATTATTTGCACAAGGTCAGTGGAGAAAAGAAAGGCAGAGAACTGAGACTTAAATTTCCTCTCAAATGAAAACTTGAGCAAAACTACCCTAGGAGGGGAAGTCCAATGGTCCAAAATCTATTAGATTAGAAGTGACTCTGCTCTAGCCACTCCTTTGCAAGGACACAGGACTGTTCTAACAGGAGAAATGAAAAATTCCTTAAGAAAGTGAAATTACTGCAGGAAAATATTGCTTCAAAATATACTCCCATGGAGAAGGAACAAATACTTAATGACATCTACTATGTGCCAGGAGCTTCATATACATTTATTTGATTTAATCTACAAACCTATCCTGAGGCAGATGGCTTTATCTTCACTTACAGTTGTGGAAACCAAAGCTCATGGAAGCTAAAGAACTTGCCTGAGGTCACAAAGCTAAAAAATGATGCAGCCCAAATTTGAACCCAAATCTGTCTGCTCTACGACATCATACTGCCTAAGTTGCTAATTTTCAAAGGAATACAAGATAGAAGACCTATTTTTTTTTTTTTTTTGAGACAGTCTCACTGTGTTGCCCGGGCTAGAGTGCCGTGGCATCAGCCTAGCTCACAGAACCTCAAATTCCTGGGCTCAAGTGATCCTTCTGCCTCAGCCTCCCGAGTAGCTGGGACTACAGGCATGTGCCACCATGCTCGGCTAATTTTTTCTATGTATTTTTAGTTGTCCAGCTAATTTCTTTCTATTTTTAGTAGAGACGGGGTCTCGCTCTTGCTCAGGCTGGTTTCGAACTCCTGAGCTCAAACAATCCGCCCGCCTCAGCCTCCCAGAGAGCTAGGATTACAGGCCTGAGCCACCGCGCCTGGCCTAGAAGACCTATTTTAACTCCTTGCTTCTCAGCACTGCAAAATTCCCTGCTCCCTCCTCCAGCGTTTTTCAACCTTTCCTTCATAGAAAAATATCTACCACATCTCTTCTGGACAGAAAGACCCACAGGTTGTTACAAAACTTTTGTTATAAAACATTTAATGTTAACCTACAATACAATGTAAACTTTTATGAAAAAAATTTAAAGTACACTAGATTTCTTCAGTAAATTATCACATAGCTACTCAAGTGCAGTACAAGTTGGGGCACTGCATCCTTTATGGATGGATTTCCCGTTGCTGCATTCCTTGCAAGTCCTAAAAACACCAGTTGTAAAGTGGAGCTCCTTGTTCAAGCACCAGACGGTAATACTCCCCTGATGCTGCATTCTGAGCGTTATCACTCCTCACAGTCATTTTCTGAAACTCTTTCCTTGGCCTTGGCACCATTAGCAATTCTCATAATAACTGCTCGTTTGAAGATTATAGGTTCGTTTTAGTTTTTAAAGAGATAGGTATTCTCCTCTGGCTATCTCTTATCATGGTGGAGGCAAGCAAGGAAAAAGAAATGTTTGCTGCAGGAAATTCTGCAGAAGTGGGAGAAAAGACCAGAATGGCCCCACTGAAGCTGCAAAAATTCAACTGACTCCAAACGGGTGTCTTTGCTTGGTCATTTCCCATGGTTATGCAGCTAAATCTACAACTTCAGTCTTGGGAGTACAAAACAAAATTTGAAACAAGTGTTTTTATTTAGTTGGTGACTTGGCATTTGGAAACAACAGCTGAAATATTCCAGAGGTGATTTGGAAACAAGAGCAAATGCCTGCAGATCCCCAGCTTCTCGGTGTTTTCTCCCTTGCAGGTCCCACCAATCTCCCAGCGGTCCTTGGGAATAACATATAGATTGTACTGGCATTAAGTGACAAATGTGCAGCCCATATTTCACTTAGGAAAGGAAATGGCACCAAGGCAGCAGCACTAGGGTCAGCAGAGAGACAGGCACCGGGTCTAAGAGCAGAATTGTTTCAAAAGGGAATGGAAAGGGGAGTGTGCGGCATGTGAAGCCTCTCAAACCTAAAGTAAGCGGGTGGGCTGTCTCGAGAGTTGCGCTAACATAAAGATTAGAGACCTTTCTTAATAAATATTCTGGCATCTGACCTCCTTTACTGAACAAGTTATCAAAAGTCAAGAGGCATAAAGTGCACATTGTAGAGTAAGATGATATTGAATTATGAAGGAAAAAAAAATCACAATTTCCCCAAAGAGGTGTGGGCAGGATACTTATACAGTATAACCCAGCATAACGAAGGCCCTTAATACCCTCCTGTGCACCACCAGGGAAACAGCTGTGAATTCCAGACGGGGGGGCTCTGAGTTAAGTGGTAAAATTCCTCCATGCATGGTTGTCAGAGGCAAGCAGATTTCACATAAGGTTCAACGCAGAACATGGTTTATCCTGGTGTTCACTTCAGATACATTTCATGACAACAGTCAGATGGCAATTTCCCACTCATCTGGCCTTGGGACAGCAGAAAACCAAGTGGAAGAACAACAGGCAGTCAGGGACAGAATTATATTTTCCTAGAGATGGTGTTTTAGGCACCGGCAAATTTTCAGACTCTTCAGGTGGTATCTGAAGGTGCTTCACCCTGCCCCATGTTTACCCTAACAAGGCTGCAGCGAACAGTAACCACATTACTGCTACCTCTAAGACTGGTCCTTAGGTTTTAGTTAAGCACGAGACAAAGCCTTTGGAGACTACAAATCTAGCAAGTTATGCTTTACCTGAAGCCCCTGCCCTCACAGCATGCTAGGAACTACAGTAACTTCAGTAGGTTGCAGTGTTACAACGAGCCTGCACCACTCTAGCTATAGAAAGCTTTGGAATACTTGTCAACACACCGGCATCTGTTAATACATGGCCTGACCCACGTACCCATTACCATAAACTCAACCACAGATGAAGACATCCAGAGGTTTAAAAAAAACCTCTATTACTTCAACATAGCAATAGAGGGAGAGGATAAAAACCGCCTCCAGAAGGTGGCTACATCAGAAACCGAAATGTGCCTCCCACAGTTTACAGGCTGGGAGTTGTCTTGGTTTCCTTCAAGGCTTCTGGTTCCTTCTATCCTTAAAACACACATCCACCGCGACAGGCAGGGCACTCTCACGTGGTTCTGCTGGCTTCACCACAGGCCCTGCTAGTCCTCTGGAAAGGCACCAAGCCTGGCAATTCAGGAAAGCCTGGGGCTGGGAGGAATGGTATGCACATGTGAGAAGAGGAATGAAGAGCTGCTATCCTTTGGTTCACACCCCACAACAACCTCCTGGTACAGATTCCAAGAAAAAGCTGCAGTTGTGTGTAAAGGAGTTCACACCACATACTTGGGTGTACCTGTACGTACACAGCCTTTGTGGGGCTATAAACCCAGATTTCCTCCCACTGATTCAAGTGGAGTACATAGGTGGCAAGAAAGGTCAGCAAGAGTTGGACCAAAAAGAATGACCTCTCTGGGAACATGAGAGGGAGGGACAATGGCAGAAATAAGCACAAACCAGCCCAGGGCACCTTTATTACACTACTGTGGGCTAAGGAGCCCAGGGCATGAACTTGTGGGTTTAAGAATTGGCTCTTTATCAATAAAGTTAAGGAAAAAAAAATACATCTATGCCAGCCTCATTCCTTTGGTCATTACAAAGCAACAGAAAGTTATTTGTAAATTGTGGGCAGTTCAAGGAACATCTCTGTTCTGTGCTCTTTTCTCTCTTCTCCAGAGGTGGGAGAAGCAAGTCCTTAGGAGATGCTGCAGTAAGTAGCTGGTTGGAGGTTTTTCACTTTTATTTTCCATAAAAGCAAGAATGAATGAGAACTAATGGGAATGTCCCCATCCCCAGCTGGGACAATGGATGGGTTGAAGATGGAGAGTCTCCGCTTGCTGGAAGGTGCGTGTGCAGAGGCCGTAGGGAAGGGTGGGTTCGTTGATGGGGTATGGTCATTGCTAACTTCCCACGCACGCGCACGCGCACACACACACACAAACACACACACACAGGTTCTGACTCTTGCAGGCAGCATGGTTTCTGATCCTTCCTTAGGATGCAGCAGTCTTTTTAAAAAAAATATTGTATAATAATAATAATAATATGAATTTCTCTCTCTCTTTTTTTGTTGTTTGTTTTCTGTTTTTTCCATTTCTTTTAGGGATTGGGATAGGAATTGAGAGAAAGAAAAAGTGTCATTCGTCTGTTAGGTCCTGAACAAAGAGAACTTCTGTGTGGCTGAGTCCAGCTTCCTGTAGTGTAGGGGGATTGGGCCACTCCTCTGAAGGGACACAGGGCAGCACCCGCCTGGGAAAATTGGCTTCAATCTGAAACTTTTCAGGGCTTTCCTTCAAGGAGAACAAGAAGTCGTGGATTACCTGCAGAAGTCACATGGAAAAAGAAGGGCAGTGAGAAAAAGAGAGACACACACGAGTATAAAGTCAAATGTCCCCCAACTCACCCGAGGATGACTCTGAGACATGAAATAACTACATTACATTGGAATTCTACTTTGAATTCTTTCCATTTTCCAAGGCAAACATGTAGGGAAGCCCTTTTAAAAGAAATTACATAAGCCCAAGCTAGTACTACTCTAAACTGATTCATCTGTATCTTCTTTGACACTTGTCTGATTTAATGCTGAAAAATTTTTACTTAGAAATAATTACAAAGTTACAGAAAAGATGGACATATAAGACACAGAATTTTTTTCTTTGAACCAGTTGTGAGTTGCCAACCTGATGTCCCATCACCCTAGAATACTTGAGGGTGTAAGTCTTACAAACAGGACAATCTTCTACATAACCACAACTCAGCACTCAAAATCAGGAAATTCGATGGCTCAATGGTGTGTGCTTATAATCCCAGCTACTTGGAAAGCTGAGGCAGGAAGACCTTTTGAACCCAGGAGTTCAAGTCCAGCCTGGGCAATGTAGCAAGACCCTCATCTCAAAAACAAAAACAAAAAACAAAGCAAATAAAAAAATTTAGGAAATTTAACTGACACATTGTTACCATAATATATAGTACATTATAATTTAGGCCCCATTCAAGTTTCACCAGTTGTCCTTTATAACAAAAGGATCCAGTTTTAAATCAATTCCTCAGTCTTTCCTTGACTTTCATGACCTTGACAGTTTTAAAGTTATTGTTGTTACTTTGTAGATTGTCCCTCACTTTGTTTGTCTGATGTTTACTCACAAATATTACAGAAATGTGCTGCCTTTTACTCAATGCATTGCATCCAGGTGGAGTGCAACTACAATTTGTCAAATTGTCACTTTGGTCACTTTGATCGCTCAACTATATAGGGTGGTGTCTGCTAGGCTTCTCCACTGCAAGTCATTCTTTTTCTCTTTGTAATTCATCACTATTTTGTGGGGAGGTACTTTGAAACTACAGACATATTCTGTTCCTCAAACTTTCAACTATATTTATTTATATCGATGTAGATTCATGATTTCCTATTTTATTCAACAGTTTACAATTTATTTTAATATTCAGATCATTTCAGATGGAGTCAGCCTGAATGGCTCACTCACTTCTATGTCTTTCTGACATGTCCTCATCATTCTCTGAACAATTCCTTGCTTCCTGGAATAAGCTGCTCCAGGCTGGTCTTTTATTTTCCCTGCCCCAGCCCTAGAATCAGCCATTTCTTCAAGGAGCCCTGGTTCTTTTTAATGGGCAATGGTATTTAAAAGTCAAGCTCTAGGTGCTAGGTGTGCTTACTGCTATTGGGGAGCTGCTGCTCCTAGGCACTCTTTATGGATAGGGTTAGAGAATATGTGTGTGTGAAAATCCCTGCGCCTACATCTACGTATAAAAAATATATAAAAATCATGACTTCACCCTCCCGCCCTGCCCTCCCATAAACCTGGGACTTCCTATGTATACCCTCCTTATCCTGTTCTGGCTTTGCCACCTCCACCCTGGGGCCGGCTGGACTGGTGGTCCCTGCACATGCGCCCACGTGTGGACATATTTTTTAACCTGATCAAGATCTGACAGCCTTACATGGACTCCCTCTGTATGGGAATGCCCTCCCCACCCTGCTCCGGCTCTGACAAGGCACAGGTAAATCCTTAGTGAGAAAGGAGGCAACGCCAGGAGAATTTCACACTGCTAAAACTTAAACTGTGAGAGAAATACCTGTGTACAGGCCACTGTTGTCTCTCCCTGTCTCTTAATGCTACACATTAGGAATAGGCACGCTCTGCCCTCTCCCTCTAGCATTCCACTTCTAACAAAGACTCAGCTAATCTTTTTCAGGTCAACCTCAAAGATAAGAAACACACCATTCAAGTTATCCTTCATTTTTTGGAGTAATCTAATTCTGTTTTCTTTTAGTTATACCTCTCAGAATGACAAATTCTCTGGGTTTATTCTTCTCTGTGTGAAGTAGTCCTTCCTTTATTTGTCTTAAATTTACCTCTTTAGAGATTTTTAAGGGGTTACAATTCCAGAATTTAAGGAGTAAATCCATGTTCCTCTTATCTAATCCATTCATGATTTTATAAACCTCTCATATTTTAGTCTATCAACCTTAGTCATTTTCAGTTCCGTTCTCGGACCCTCTGCAATTTCCATTTAATGTTCACTCTCCTTCTTTTCTTGGGATGCTTCAATTAGATTTGCACCACGTATTCTTGGTATGCAATCAACACAGGTTTTATGTAAGCCTGAAATAATACTTTCTTTTTCAATCATTGCTTGAGAATTCCAAACACTGGTATAAAACTGCATTTTTTTTGTTTGCCAGTGACAAAGAAAGGGCTGACACCACCAGACATCCCTTTTGGTTTGTAATGGACAAAAAAATTAGTTCCAGGTTGAGTGTAATTTGGATTTCTCATTCATTTAAAAGAAAGTCAGCTGCCACTTTTCTGCCCACTCATGGGACCTGGAGATTTTCCTGTAGTTTATCCTTTTTTATCTTAGCATTTAACTCAAGAGCTGAGTATCATCTGCAAATGTCACTCCTTGAGATTACTTATGATGGGACAAGTTCACAGTAAGATGACACAGGTCTGCAAGAGTACTACAAAACACTCAATCACTACTTGGTTCTATGTAACTTTCTCTGCAAGTGTTAAATTCCAGGCCAGCACCACCAGTGTACTTCTCCTTTATCCTTCTTTCCCATCTCTAAGCCTCATTTATGACCAAGCATTTCTCTCAGTCTCAGGTGGTCATGATTATCTTTTTTTTTTTAAAAAAATAGCTTTTAGCGAAGAATCTAATTAAAAGTCTTCAAAGACTAAATGGTTAATGAATGGTTGGTTCCTGTGGCCATAGGCCTATTCTTTTTTTTTTTTTTTTTTTTTGGTATTTCAAAGCATCAAGGGGGCATAAATGTTTTTGTTACACAGACACACTGTTTAATGCTGAAGTCAGGGCTTTCAGTGTGCCCATAACCTGGATAGTGTTCACTGTACCTGATAGGTAAGCTTTTAACCCCCACCCCTTTTCTATCTTCCCTACTTCTTAGTTTCCAATGTCCTTTATATCTCTTTATGCCCCGGTGTACCCATCATTTAGCACAGGCCTATTTTTCTTTTTTTTTTTTTTTTGAGACAGAGTCTCGCTTTGCTGCCCGGGCTAGAG